ATATGATTCTAAATGTTATGGTTTGAGCAATGGTGTAGCTAGTTCCTGGCTTTTGGAACAGTTGCAGTTGTCTCATAGCTCAATGATCCAGGACAGCCATTTTCAATTCACTCTTCATTATGAGCCAGTGTAGACTACGATAACCATGCAAACTAGAACTTCTTGGCCAGAGTTTGATGCCTCTGTCTGCATTATTTTATCTCAAGCATCAATGCAATTATTTGAGACAGACTGCCAAGTCCTAGGGTAAGAGCCTCATCCCCACTCCAGCCCTCTTACACCAGGTAAAAGGGCTGGAGCGGCATACAGGAGGTCCTACAACCCTGGTTTCAGCAGGGGGAGAATTCCCTTAATGTTGACATTGTGGAGGACAGCTGTAAGGCTGCTCTCTGAGGACTCCCATAAGCCCTAACGGAGGGGACAGGACTGAGGGAAGAACGAAGAAGCAGCATGTTAGGGGTGGAGCAGGAGTGCTGCATAGATTTCGGGAAGCAAGGTAGCCCAGTAAGGCTGTCGTAATTTACAAAGGCCCTTAGGCCTGTCTGTTATGCCAAGAACTGATCCAACCCCTGGATGGAACAGCCCAGGATAAAGAGGGTGCATAGGTGGCTCAAAGTCACCATAGCCTCCCCTCCTCCTAGGCTGCATGTTCTGTGCTGAGTTTCTTAAATGTGCAGCAGAGAATCTCACCCCGGTGTATTTCTAAATTTTGGGTCTTTCTTTTAAGGCCTTTTTGGTAAGTTTTTTTTTAAAGGAATTGGCTTGCACCTTCACTGTTTTCCAGTTCCATTTTAGAGATTTTCCTACATTTTCTATATTCCGTCTCTGGTTAATCTGCAACTCCATCCAAGCAGGATTGGGACTCTAATTTCATGTTATTGTTTGTATATAGTATGTAAAAAAGGCTTGAGGAGCAGAAGTAACATGGGATGCTGAACCAAGTCCAGTTTGGTGAGGAGGAGAGAAAGCAAACTAGAAAGCCAGTGTGGGTCTCTGGTGTAGGTTAATGAAAAAGAATAGAGTGAAAGAAAGAGTGGGCTGATACACTGTAGTTAGGGGAGGAATTAAGAAACATTTAATTACACCAAGGTCTGTAAGGTTAGATCTGGTATGGCCGGTGTTGACCATTCAAGATGGATTTGACAGAAATAGAGAGACTGGACAGTTAGCACAACTACCAGGAACCAGAGAGGTGAGGTTGCAAACTGTGGCCTCAATTCTGCAGATTTATGTGCATAACTTTGAGTTCAGTAGCATTGCTCATGTGCTTAAAGGTTAAGCATCTGCATCAGTTTCTCAAGATCAGGGCCTTAGGGGGGGAAATTTAAGGGTTATCTTAAGGCACTCAAGACCATAAAGCAGATTGCCAGACAGCAAGAAGGATCACTAGTCTGATGAAATTTGGAGTGCAAGCTGGCAGGTTGGTATGGTAGTTGATAAGGGAAAAGCCTCTTTGGAGGGTTAGTGAGAGATTTGCTCTAGGAAGCTGGAGAATGATTTTCTTCTGGAAAGTGTCTGAAATAGATGTAATCTGGAAGCATTCAACTTTCAGAATAAGAGACTTCTTTCTCTTATGTTCTGGACATCTTTGCTGGAGTCCTTAGAATCACAGACTCAAGAGGTAGTGAATATATTATTGGTATGAGACATGAAAATGCCATTTTTATTCATGTGATGCCAAGAAAATAGTTTTTAAAAAAAATATGCATAGTGTGTGGGAGAATGCCATTCATCTCTTCCATAGTCCCTTTTTCATTAGTTTGACTCAATAAAACTTTATGAAGACGCCCTATCAGCTATGATATCTGTTGTCTCCTGCAGAGCTTCACAAGCATTCAAGGATTCGGAGCCAGCTGTGGCTTGCCCTAACGTAGTTAATCAAGACCAGCCTCTTGTGGTACAGGACCCTGCATAAGTCAGAATTTGGTGCCCCCTCACATCAGTAGGAGTTTGGGGGAGAGACAACCCCCCCCAATCTTAATTAGCTGTGGGGTGGTTGCTATTAAAATCTACAGATGGTGGAATGGGATGGGGCGGAGTATTAGACAAAGGGTAATACACCTCTACCCCGCTATAACGTGACCCGATATAACATGGGTTCGCGTATAGCGCGGTAGCAGCGGGGCTCCAGCAGCGCTTTAAAAGGTCTGGGGCTCCGGCTGCTGTGGGGAGCCCCAGGCCCTTTAATTCACCGCCGGAGCCCTGCCGCCCCTACCCCGATATAACAGGGTTTCAGCTATAACGTGGTAGGGATTTTTGGCTCCCCACGACTGCGTTATAGCGGGTTAGAGGTGTATGAACAATGAAGGGGAGAAGAGCCCTACCCATGAGGTCCAGGGGAGATGCTGGTGAGAGTTCCAGCCCCCACTCCAACCTACAGGTGATGGGCATGAGGATGCCGCCATCCTTGATCTCTGAAAGTGGGATGGGGCTGCATCTTTGTCAGCCCCTGGCTAGGAGACGTTTGATAAGTTTGTTGCCTCCCCGCCTTTTATGGAAAGCTCCTAACGCCTTCCCACCTGGATCTGATAGTTGGCCCAGCCCATCAAGATCAGTTGGGTATGCGTTTGAGAGGTAGGTAGCTAATCCCTCACTGGTGAGGTAGAGCCCAATTCCCTTTAAAAATCCAGCTTGTGGCACTCTCTTTCCTCCAGCTCCCTGTGTTTTGTAAATTGAACAGTGGTGCTTTTTGGGAAAGCTATAAACTGGAGCAGAAGCACTAGAGTTGTCTCTACAGACTCTAGAAGGCTGCACTTCACTCGTTCACATCAGAAGTCTTCCTTTTTTTGAGCTATGAATGTAATTTTTTGTATTGAAAATCATATTCTGCAGAAATTGCTGGCTTATTACTTTCCCGTGCTCCGTATTCAACAAGGAAAAAGTGTTTTATTTGCCACCGGTAACTGTAGAAGTTAATTTTCTGATTCTTGTTAGCTGAACATTGAGTTTCATATTGACAGGAGGTTTTGAAAAATCCACTTGGCAGTGTGCATAGGAAACTACCTCTGGCAATAAGGCAGGACCTCTGAGGTCATGCTTGAAGAAGACTAATGTTTTGACATACTAGCTCCTTCCACTTAAATTGTCAGTATCCATTTGATATTCTGGCAAACAGTCTGTCACTTAGAGTTGCAAACTGAGCTTGGGAACTCCAGACTTAGAATGAACAAGTTCATTCTTGCCTTCCATTTGAAGATTTTAAAAATATACTCTTGTAACAATCCATGTACTGGACTAGTCTATTTTTAAAAAGTATTGTTACCTTTTTAAACGCATGCATCATTTTTGGAGTATACTTTCTGGATCATGCATACTAAGCATAGGGATATGATGCTATGTACTGCTTGGGAAGGTCTTGCACAATCGCAGGCATGTTCAGTCCTTAAAGGTGCAGCATTATACAACTTCCACTTTCTGACATCTGTGCATTAATTGCATCCTACGTGCATGCATTTTGGAGAAGTGGCAGACAGCTCAGGTTCATACAAATAATGATAATACAATGCCTGGTTAAGTAGTACTGTTTGGGTGGCTACATTTAATAAAAACCTTTAGAAAAATATCAAGAGGATTCACAATATTACTGCTGAGACATTTTGGGGTCTGAAATTGTAGAAATAAAATGTAAGTTTAGATGTTTGTTAGAATTTAGAACAAAAAAGTTAAAGATAAGTGAGTCAGAGCGGGGGGCTCTAGCCTGGAACTTAGGAGACCCAGGTTCAATTTTCTACTCCATTACAGACTTCCTGTGTGACTTCAGAGGGATGTTGTGAAGATTGTTAAAGATTATGTGGTGTTCAGATATTACAGTGATGAGGCCAAATAAGAACTGAGAGTAGGTTGTATTTTAAGGTCTGCATGAAAGGTTTGTGGAATGGTGCTCCTGCATATGTTCTGTAAATATTTGTTTAATGAGAATTAACTGTGAACTATTGGGAAACCCTTTCCCTTTGGCTCAGTGATGAGGGAGGGAGCAGTATTGCTATGATGAAAGTTCACTCCACTGGTTTTCCCCCTGTCCACTGCTAAAGAGACAGTCTCCTTAAAAGGTAGTCAGTTGCAAAATATGTTATCTGTAGTAGCTGCCCTGGGTGCCCCTTACAATATTTATAGTGCTAGTCAGATTTTCCTATTTAAAAAAAAATGTTTTCATATCCCCCTGTTGCTGTGTTGAAATGCATACAGAAACAACACGACAAACTGACTTAACTGCCTTTACAAGGGTAACCATGTAGCTGACTCTGTGCTACGTTGTCAAATGCACAAGTATTCATGTTAGAACAATGGTGAAAAATATTTTTCTGTAATCGTTCAGCTATAGTAATTTTAGGTGTTGCTGGTAAAATAGAAGGCAGACATTTTACAGACAAAAATGTGATTAAATTGGTGAGATTGACCCTTTTAAAACACTGATTGGGGAAAATTTTGATAATCTATTAGCCTGAATATTGCTTGGTTTTCATTGTGGCATTTTCACTTATAAATATGTCTAGGAGTTGGGGAAGAAATATTATTTATTACGTTGTGGCTGTACACACACTGGGTATATACTACAGCAGTTTGAATTGAAATATTATTCTTATTGTGAGAAGGGAGAGGCAGTTTAAAGATTTTATCTGACACAATCTTGAGTTGCCTACTGCGTGATTTTTTTAAAATTAACTTAATTTAAACAAAAGTGTTTGGAAGCCATTAAATATGATAAATTCCAGTTCAAAAATTTGTCCAGTTGTTCCATGTACTGGAGTGGCAATAACCTGTAACTACCATAACTGTACAATGGTACGAGTGTAACACTCTGCTTTCTGCAGAGAAGAGTAAGAATAACCCAAATTATTGTGAAATATAAAAACACATGGGTGAGTCTAGCTGTCAGACTTTGAGACTTTGGAACTTATCACAGTTCACATCTATGACTTTTTCCAATACTGGACACTTGAGACTTAAGAGTATCCTGTGAGACATCTTGTAAGCTGTCTTTCCTTTTTCCTCCCATACAGGAAATAAAGAAGGACATGAAGAAAGAAAGTATTGCCAACAAACCACCAGAGAAGCCTATAGATGAAGTTTCCAATGGAAGCCCTTTACTGTTTTCTGAGACCATTAGAACCACCAGAAAAGGTACAGTATATCAAAGTATAGACTTTGGTTAAACTGATGTGCTTTGTTCACAAAAAATTAAAAGAATGGAATGTAAGCTTTCATTGTTTTTAGTGTTAAAGCACAGCACGTATACAGTTGTGAAAGGCTACCAATAATGTTGGGAAGATAACAAAAATCTTTCCTTGATTGGCATACAGATGTATTCAGTATGTCAATTTCCATTTTCATTTACAAAAGCACAGCTTCTTTCCTTCTAAAGAGATCTTGTCTAGATTTATTTTAATTAAGAAAAGCTACATGGGTGGATTACTGAAGCTTATCAAACTGACAGCTAGAAGCATATATAGTGCTCCTGTGCAATGCTGTTAGCAAACTTCAGTCCTGAATGTATCTTCTCCGCCCCCCCTTTCCCAAGCAGAAGTTGCTTTGTGACAGTGTGATTTTTTTTTTTAAAGGATACTAAAAATGATGCTAGGAGATGGGTAGAGTAACAGAGATCTCTTTTTTCTTTCTCCCCCCACTCCAGCATCCCAGAAGCTTTGGTGGAAAGAGAAGAAATAGAAAGTTGGTTTCTCTCTTCCAGTAGCTAGAAGGATATAGCTTCAAATTAATGAAACACTGCCTAAACCAAATCTGATATGAAAGATGTAGCTTTCAAATGGCGTGAAGGATAGCATCCTCCTCCTCCTCCCAACATCTGGGGATGGCAGCAGGGCTTCTTAACAGGGTGGTGGTGTCCCACTTTTATATCCAACTCTGAATAGCAGAAGGCTGGTGAATTTTTCAAACGTTGCCTCCTTCCCACAGCTATCCCCTCTGCTCCTGGACAGACAGGGTCCTTGTCGACTATGCAGGAGTTCTTTCTCTCAGCTCTTCTAACTCATGCTCTCACTCTGTTTCACTACAAAGTTGAGGGTGTAGAAGAGGAACTGGATGGAGACAGCTCAGATGTAGCTAAGAGAATGTTGCTGCCACTGCCAATCTTCTCTTTCTCTGGGCAGCAGATTACCAAGAGAATCTTGTTAGAGGGAGGGAGGCTAAGCAGACAGTTGCTGCAACATGCAAATGTGAAGAAGAGCTCACTAAGAGATACACGGGGACGGATGTGGGAGGGTTAAATTGATTTGGGATGGGGGAAAGAACGGAAATATTTTATTAGAGAGAAAAGGTGGGTGAGGTAATATCTTATATTGGACCAACTTCTGTTGGTGAAAGGGACAAGCTTTTGAGCTTACACGGAGTTCTTCTTCAGGTCTTGGCGGTGTGGCACTATATATATATATATAGATAGATAGATATAGATAGATATTACAGGCATTTTTTACTGGTTTAATTTATTTTGTCTTTGAGCAACTAGGTGCCAGGGATGTTTTTTAAGCCCTGCCCTATGCTGCCACAGGCCTGTAGCCCTTAAAAGGCAAG